CTTCCGCTACTAAGGTGTTAAATATATTATTTGTACATATCGTATACTTATCTCGTCAATATCATGTTAAATTAAAAATTATAATTTAATAAATTAAATAATAAAAAATTAAATAATTAATTAAATTAAAAATTATATTTTACTGAATTGCTACATACAAATAAATTACTGTTCAATATCTCGAATTGCTTTGTTTCAGGTTCGAACATTCTCAACTAATTTCAATGTAACTTCAGATATTTTATCTGAAATTCAAAACTTAATAGAACAATATAAAAAAATTCTCGAGTTAACCACAGGCCTATTTCGAAAATGGTTTCCTTAATAGCAGAAACGTAGCATGATATTGATCCATTTAATAATAAACCATTGATCTATTTAATAATAAAGCCGAAATATGATACAGAACTTACATTTACATGACTTTATATAATTATTTTTATTTATTATTATACTATCTTGTAATTTATTTATATTTAATTATTTCTTTATTTAATACTTTTTAATAATTTTATAATATACAGAATTTTATTAATAGCCTAAAGAAGCTATTAATAAAATCTTCTGACGTATTAATCTTCTATAGTATAATTGACAAATAATTTATATATATACTATAGTATATAACATATTAGATTTTTTAATGTCGATTGTAAAATACCTATTGATACAATTTCAAATTATTGTAACATATATAATATAATACAATTAACTGCCATTATTGTAACATATATAATATAGTACAATTAACTGTCATTATTGTAACATATATAATATAGTACAATTTACCATCTTCTACAATTAGGTAATAATAAGTTATATAACTTTATACTTTTTTTACACTACAAATTACTCTTTAAATATTTTTATAAACTTTTAACTAAATATATAGAATTTAAAATTAAACTAATATTTGTGTGTGTATTTTAAACTGAATTCATTCTTTCTTGTTATAAAGCATTTCTGAAATCAGATACCTATAACATGATGATTTTTGCAGTATATATACATTTTTTGATTAAATATACCTACATTTTTCTGATAAAAGTTGTTTTAATTACGAGGGAAAAAGAAAAATCTATAATCATATATATAGCATGTTTATCATTAAACACATTTCTATTGAAATGCTTTAATAGCTTAAATCAATTATCCCAATCTTATTAAAAATATCGCAAAAAGGACATGCATTTATGTTAAGATAAATATAACAATCTTTCAATTGTCATTATATTTATGAGGTTTGTTCGCGTCGCATGTTCCAACATGATTCAATATGTTCCTACTATGCTCCTACTCTTTCCAATGTGCTCGTTGGATGCGTGGTCTACAATGGGCAGTAGCACTAGTGGATTAAACAGTAGGCATAGAAATCGATACCAATAGTTGATTATCTTCCTCACATTCGACTATGATTAATTGATTTCTACTCCTTAATCCACTACTGCCCATTGTAGATATTGTGTAAAGTCGGCCTCCCAACATTTGAGAAAATTAAATTTCCATAGCTCATTCGATTGCTCATTGTTTGCACATTTATGCACACTTTGAATTTTCGTTTGCATACTTCTAGTAAGAAAGTTATTAAAAACATAATTTTTGGGAGGGCTAATTTCACACTAGCCCCAACTTTGATCAAATTGGATAAAAAAAATCATAATCAATAGATTTTTATTTGCACATTTTGAAACAATTTAATTTTTTATTTGCATCTTTTAATTAAAAAAATATAATTAAAATTCGAGAAGAATCGAAAGCGGCAAATACTTGAATCGCAGCTACTATGCTCAAAATGGCATGAATCGATAGATTCTCGTTCACACATTTCAAAACAAGCCGAATTTTGGTTTACACACTTTTAGTTAAAAAGTTATTAAAAAAGTAATTTTGTGGAGGAAGGGCTAACTTTAAAACAATAAGATTTCCAAAGTCCCTTAAGGGAAAACATCACTGTGACGGCCGAAAAAAGGGCTATTTTTGTGAATTTTTTTTGTAAAAACTAATAGCTTGTATGAATTATTGTTTTCATATATTCATAGTACATACATTTACGAAGTTATTACAAAAAAATTTATTAAATAATATTAATATTTCTAGCCTCAGTGTTTAATGATGTGCACCTCGTCTGAAAAAACATGGGTGCATGGGCGCTCGTGCTGCGTCTGAACGGAGCTTTAAAATAATTTTTTTTTATTTTAAAGTATATAAGTATAGTTTCAGTTAAGCGTATTGGTTTTTCGATAAACTAATTTTAGACAAAATGGTGCTGTTTTAAAAAAAGAAGTCGCGATTTTGCGAAAAAAATTATTACTTTTTTTATTGTTTTTTAAAAACTAATAATCCAATCGAAAAATTCGTACGCTTAACTGAAGACAATTTTGTTATAAACATTCTATCCAATATGTGCATAAATGTACAAACGATGAGCAATCGAATGAGCTATGGAAAATTAATTTTCTCAAATGTGGGGGCCAACTTCACACGGGTCCATTGTAGATCACATAGGATTATTCATATATATTATGTTTTATGTAATATTGCATATGGAATTTATGTTAAAATAAGTTAATAATATATCTACTTAAAATAAACTACAAAATGTAATCTGATTATATTAGTATGTTAGTTTCAATACTTATTAAATATTTATTATAATAATTAAATAATTATTTAGTTTTTTTCTACAAAAAGATAATTCTAATTTTCAATTATTTGTAATTCAACGATTCTGTAGATCTAGGACTTATTTTCTAACACAATTTCACAATATGTTTACATGATATATAAAATCACGCGTGTTGATATTCTAGTCAGTATTCGAGAAGCTTTCGAAATAGCAAGATGATAACACAATTATATCGATGTAACTTTGATATTAAAAACTTATGGTATTAATTGTTATTTATAATTAACTATAAATATAAAGTATTGAATATACAGCTACAAAGTGTAAAAGAGTAAAATAATTATTTTGTGAGAACGTAGTATTCGTTTTAATTAACATATTGAATGCCTAGCGAATTTTACACATTTTATCATTTATATCAGATTAAAATCACTATCATAAGTATATAATATAATATAATCTACGTAATATAAATTATATCATCACAAATGACACATTTTTCTGGTAAGACATTTGTCATTAATTTTCGATTTATTGAAATGCGTCAATTCGATATTTGATTATTTATCGCAAGCATAAATAAATTTTTTAAAACAACTATTATCAGTGACCTTTTCCTATCTTTAGTGAAAATGGAACACAAATCTCCGATAATTCCCATGTGATGTGAATCTATTGATAATAGATCACTAACGAAATCGTATATGTCTTTATTATATGTAGATATTTATATGCAGATCACAAGAGTATAAAAAAACTGATGCACCTCATAATTTTTAGATACGCTTAAAACAACTCTTCGACAAGCTTTTTTAGTACATAGGATACGTAGAAAGACCTAATGATGATCATATTACAAAACTGACAAGGCTATATGCCTTACGATGGGCATGTATTCTTGGTCATGAGGAGTGTAAGAAAATGAGCGCACTTAAACTAAGTAAACATTTTGCTGACAATGAAATTCACAAGTAAATTTCATACACGTACGATTATCTCATAAGTTGTATTTGTAACATGTGCGTGCACACGCATGCATATGAATATGTACAGCCGAACGTAAAAATAAGTAACTTAATGAAATATAGTGACTCGATTATACCTATAAAATGGATACATATAAAATGCACCTATTTTATACGTTTAACTGATGAAATCATTCATTCAGAACGACAATCACTCGCTGAGCTCTTTTATCTGATTGGTATATTTCGTTACAAACCACTCAAATAAAAAAGCTCATTGAACACTTAGTGAGCGGTTGTCATTCTGAATGCATCTAAAATGTATTTTTTCATAAAATTTGTTCCCATTGCTTGTACTTTTTGCACTCAGCATCTTTGCTTTTTCTCTTTTCAATGTCCAAATATATATATAATTTTAAGTTCAAAAAAATTTAGGGATTTCAAGCAACGCGAATAGACCTGTGATATATACGTATATTTTTTGAATTCCATTATTTACGTACTGTGCTAGTATGATGACAGCCAATCAGACTACTTGGGATAAAATGTTGAAATTATATCTAAAAAATAATCTAAAGCAGGAAAAATCTGGAAAACAAATATTAGAAAGTTTGAGTTGCGCTGAAGATCCTGATATCATCATAAATTATTTAAATATGACAGCATGGAATACTTCATTATTTTCCAATATAGAGTGTTCTTATATTTTCGAACATATTCTTGAAAAGCATGTGCGCAACGATATAATTCTTGACTACGTATTAAAAAATTTTATAATTATAAAACCCATGTAATAATATTTACTTTTATAAATATATATTGTATTTTTTCTTATTCGTAAAAATTTATTAATAAGGATATTTATATTATTTTGTTCTTACAGATTACTTACTACGCCTGCAATAATAAAACTTATTCTTAAAAACATTTACACTAATGAACAAGTTGATAAGATAAGTTTTATGATTCTGGGTTCATATTTATTAACCTTATATTGACTATGAATAGCACATTAGTTCATACAGCACAGAATCTTGCAGCACATTTTTACAACGTTGCATGTTACTGCAATATTATTGGATTTATCTATGGCGCGCTTAAAATAAAAACTATTCAATACACAAATTATAGATTAATGAAATTTTATATAATTAAATTAATGTAATAAGTAATGAAATGTTTAAATATTTAGATTGTAATTTTATACTTTTGAGAAAAACCGCATTATAAAATCGAATAGTATCAATGTGTGTTTTAAAATATTTATCGAATTTTTGTAATTCATGTATTAATATTAGATTAATAATTTAATTAAAAAGTGTTTAAAAAATTCGCAATGATATTCACTTTTCCAATAAATGATTTTGTAATTTACACTCCAACATCCTGTGTTGGCTCATATCGAGATTATTTATCATGATAGGTTTAATTTAGTAAGTTTAGTTAGTTTATTTTATTATTTTATTTAAAAATTATAGTTTGAATTGTTATATATATATATATATATATACATAAAAATAATTACTATTTATATCTCGAATTAATCTGTTTCAGATACAAACATTCATAGATACTAATGTCAATCTAGATTCAGACACCTTATCTGTAATTAAAAAATTAATAGAACAGCGTAAAGAATATCTTAAGAAAGCTGCAGATTACGCCAAGAAGCGGTTTTACTACACAGTAAAAGATATACACCTGAAGTAATTGATCCGTGATCAATCAAAAAGCCGAAATGTGTACAAAAGTTTTGCAGCAAAACATTACATTTACTTATATAACTTTCTAATTATTTTTATCTATTATTACGTTTTGTGATTTATCTATTTTTAATTATTTCTAATATTTTTCAATAATTTTATGATATACTGCAATATTTTATTAATAGTCTGAAGAAACTATTAATAAAATCTTTTGACACATTAATCACATCTATAATATATATAATCGATAAATAATTTATATAATATTACATAACATATTAAAATCTTTGATATCGGTTATATAAAATATTTTTATAATCGCAGTAACTGTAATTTATATTCATTTGTGATTGAATTATCTTAACTAATAAATATATAATATTTTCTAGATATTATATATATGATAACGTCATTTTTAATAACAATTAATATTTACCCAAACAAAATAAGTCATGATAACATCAAAATGATATTAAAATGAATCAGAAATGATTGAAAAATGACTTTTAATGATCGTTTTGGAGTTATTTTGACTTTTGAAATTATTTTGTTAATAATTTGTTTCTGCCTAAACTATATAGCATTATTATTGTTATTATTACCATATTATATATATATGTTTGATCTATAATGGAAGATATGGGCTGTTTCCGAGCGTAACCATGATAATTGTTGAGTCTCCTCACTTCTGATTTTGATAAAATTAGTCTCATTCGACGCGTTTTCACTCAAAACGAAAGAAAATCAGAAAAACCCAGCGGCCGCGTAAGTATTAAAGTTCGAGGCTTTAGAGATTAAGACATCTGTCATTTCGAACAAAAAAGCAGAGCGATTCAAAGTCGATATGTAATGTAAAAAATTTATACTTTGTTAATACCTTTAAAATATCTAATTTTAATTATATTGTTAAAATTTAAAAGTATTCAATACAAATATAGGTATTCAAATATAGAACAGGAATTCCTGAAACATGGTGGACCAATGTCGATGCGCTACTTTATCATATTATAATTTGTAATTTGAAGAAAGTTGGAATTCCTCTAATTATAAAAAAACTACATTTAATTTAAACGTGTAAAGAAAATTTAAATAAATAAAAATAAATGAATCGACCTGTAGAGGCCCTCCACTGGCTCTATCACCCTCGCCAATTTTTAACGACGGTCTTCTTTTTCTCAATAAACACCAAGTTACATGTAACAATTAATACAACTGTAGTATAACACACGAAATACATTACAGTTATATATTAGTGTGTTATACTATACAGTTATATTCTTATGGCAAATTACAACTAATTATAAGAGATACGTGTAACTTGAGGTTTGCTGGATTTGAATGTCATTTTCATGCTTTATGGCTATATGTGCATAGGTTTTTTATTAACTTGCTTCTACACCGATATATTAATGCTTGTTTATTAATATTCAAATCATCTTCCTTTCATCGTTTAGGGGTTTATAACTTTTCGCACATAGCAAGAACAGAGTAGGCTTTCGTTTTGAATAAAAATGCATCGAATGAGCCTAATTTTATTAAAATCGGAGATAAAGTAATTCTAAATAAATACAGACTAAAATATGTATACATAGCGTTGCATTGAGTCAATGTGATAGATTTCTTAACCACAATGGCCTAGTTTCTACCGAGGATTTAAACCGAATCAGAATGTAAGAACCAATCAATACAATTGAGTATTCCTGTTACAGTCGAACGACAGGGGAATGCTCGACAGTAGTTGGTTGGTTCTTACATTCTGATCTGGTTTAAACCCTCGGTGGAAACTAGGCCATTTATGCTTGGTTTATGCTTCGGTTTTAACTCTAAAATCCTAAAATTTAGCCAATAGGACTGCCAGTCTTAATTGGTCCTAACTGTATTCCATTGGTTGAATTTTAGGATTTTAGAATTAAGACCGAAGCATAAACCAGGCATTACAGAATCGCAGGTTTCTCTCTGCTCTCTGTTATCTGTTTTTATTTTATCTGGTACATTTTTTGTTAATTAGTTGGTACAAAGTCCTTTTCGATGGTGGCAACATTGTCTGTGCACTGAATATCCAAATGCAAGCAAACGCGTGTGTCAAATATTTTTTGTTAGTTTCAAATAATTTTAAATAAATAATGGCAAATTTTAGCGAAGACTTGTTTGATGTTTTTGATGAGCACGGCGATGAAGTAGAAATACTGGACATTCCGAAGTATGTGAAACGATTTTTGTCATGGAATTTAACCTAACTTCTATAAACGTTAATCATCTCCTCATATATGTATATGTGTATGTGACTATGGATTACTTATTTATAACAAATTGTGCAGGAAAATCAAGTCGGAGATAGGAATAAAGCGACATTCTGACGCCGATGATGACAAAGCAACCATAAAAAAATTGCGACATGATTCTGTTTTAAATGATATCAAGTAAAATTTTATGTTACATTGATTGGAATATTCAAATAAAATTATAGTTGACATTATTAGTATTAATATAATTAATAACTTTATACTTGTATCTATATTATTCTGAAATTAACTACAAAAAAATATATAACTACATATACTACATTATTTCTTTAGTCTAGAGGAAGTAGCATGTCGTATAACAGTGCATACTATAGAAACTGTAGAATCTTGTATGCACGAGATTGCTATTCCTCCTGATCAAGAGTATGTACCTTTGGAACATCAACAAGGCAAGCCAGCTAAAGAGTATAAATTCATATTGGATCCATTTCAGAAGGAAGCAATTTTATGCATTGAAAACAATCAGTCAGTTCTTGTCTCTGCACATACGTCAGCTGGTAAAACTGTCGTGGCTGAGTAAATATTTCATATATTTTGGAGATTGTTTTTTCTAAATGATTTCTTTAAAATAATTTCACTCTACTATCTTATATATATCTTGCAGATATGCAATAGCATGTTCGCTTAAGGATAAGCAGAGAGTAATATATACTACTCCAATTAAAGCGTTGAGTAATCAGAAATATAGAGAATTTTATGAGGAATTTAAGGATGTTGGTTTAGTAACGGGCGATGTTACTATAAATCCAACAGCGAGTGTATTAATCATGACTACTGAAATTTTGCGAAATATGCTTTATAGGGGTTCAGAGGTTTGTTTTACTCTATTTCATAATTTATTATGAAATAGAATATAATATTATAAACAAATATAAACTAATATTTTTCACAAATATGAGACATTAATGTCTCTAGTAGAAAATTATTTACTTAATATAAAGGTTGATATTTATATTTTTATTTATTTAATAAAATTTTATTAAAGATTGTAAGAACATCTTGTATAGAAAGAAAAATATAAAAGTGTACAATTAATACAGTACTTATTGCATAGGTAATGCGTGAAGTTGGTTGGGTAATTTTTGATGAGATTCATTATATGCGTGACAAAGAGAGAGGCGTAGTTTGGGAAGAGACACTTATATTGCTGCCAGACAATGTGCACTATGTATTTCTTTCTGCTACTATACCAAATGCACGACAATTCGCAGAATGGGTAGTACATTTGCATCATCAACCTTGCCATGTAGTCTCTACGGACTATAGACCTACTCCGTTGCAACATTATATATTTCCAGTTGGCGGCGACGGTATACATCTGGTTAGTGATAATCTGTAATGAAGAGTCATGTTCGATGAAAAAGAAAAATCTGCTGTCTTTATTTATATGTACTAAAGTTACTCATTCTAAAACAGGTTGTAGATGAAATGGGTCAATTTAAAGAAGAAAATTTTAACAGAGCCATGGCGTGTCTGCAAAATATGGGTGATGCAGCTAAAGGTGACACAAAAGGACGTAAAGGTGGTCTACGCGCCACGAACAGCGGACAAACAAATATTTTCAAGATGGTAAAAATGATCATGGAGAGAAACTTCGCGCCCGTAATAATCTTTAGCTTTTCAAAGAAAGATTGCGAGGTTTATGCAATGCAGATGGCTAAACTAGATTTGAACACGTTAGAAGAGAAAAAATTAGTAGACGAGGTTTTTAACAATGCGGTAGATGTCCTCAACGATGAGGACAAAAAGTTACCGCAAGTTACAAATTTGCTGCCACTTTTGCGGTGTGGAATAGGAATCCATCACAGTGGACTCTTGCCAATCTTGAAGGAGACTGTCGAGATATTATTTGGCGAAGGTTTAATTAAAGCCCTTTTTGCCACTGAAACATTCGCGATGGGCTTGAATATGCCGGCACGGACAGTCTTGTTCACGGCACCTCGTAAATTCGATGGCAAAGACTTTCGTTGGATCACGTCAGGTGAATACATCCAGATGGCCGGTCGCGCTGGCAGGAGAGGTCTCGACGACAAAGGGATTGTCATATTGATGATAGACGAGCAAGTTAGTCCCGTTGTTGGTAAAGCTATCGTCCAAGGAAAACCAGATCCAATCAATTCCGCATTTCATTTGACTTATAATATGGTTCTTAATCTTTTACGAGTGGAAGAGATTAATCCAGAATATATGTTGGAAAGAAGTTTTTTCCAATTTCAGAATCAAGCTGGTATTCCAGTTTTGTACAATAGTAAGTTATTATCGCTCGTTCCAATGTTGTCAGAGCCTTTGTTTTGGAATTCTTAACAACTGTATCAGTGTAATATATATTGTTGTAGCGTTTTTACGTATAAAGATTACTTGCGCAATGACAATGTAACGACATCGATACTATCATTAAGAATTCCAACAGGGGCTAAGTAATTGCTGAAAATAAATTGTTAATCTCGATTACGTTTTCAGAGGTAAAGGAATTAAGTACCGCTTACAATACTGTAAACGTGGATAGGTACGACGAGATTTCTTCGTATCATGACATACGTGAACAACTCAATCGACTGAGTGGAGAATTTCAATCATTTCTAACGCAACCGGAGTATTTAGTTCCATTTTTACAACCTGGAAGATTAGTAAAAGTACATATTTTTTAGTTTAATTGATGCACTTATCATTTCTGGCGGGACTTTTAACGAAGTTCATTTAT